GTGGAAAACATACAAACCTACCAACAGAAACATATCCACCTGGTGAGAGCACGTAGAAAACATAAAACCTACCAACAGAAACATATCCACCTGGTGAGAGACTGTAGAAAACACACAAACCTACCAATACAAACAGATCCGTCTGGTGAGGGCATATAGAAAACATAAAAACTACCAACCCAAACACATAAACATATCCACCTGGTGAGAGACTGTAGAAAACACACAAACCTACTAATACAAACATATCCACTTGGTGAGAGTATGTGGAAAACATAAAACCTACCAATAGAAACATATCCATCTGGTGAGAGCACGTAGAAAACAAAAACTAACCAGCTCAAACATATCCACCTGGTGAGAGCATGTAAAAACACAAAACCTACCAATACACACATATCCGTCTGGTGAGGGCATATAGAAAACATAAAAAACTACCAACCCAAACACATAAACATATCCACCTGGTGAGAGACTGTAGAAAACATACAAACCTAAACAACATGTAACTTAAGTGGTGTTTTATTGTTACTGAGACATATGTAAGTTCAGTAAGATCCATACAAGAAACAACATGTAACTTAAGTGGTGTTTTATTGTTACTGAGACATATGTAAGTTCAGTAAGATCCATACAAGAAACAACATGTAACTTAAGTGGTGAAGTGAATTGAAGTTAATTCGTTTTTTGTAGTGTGTATCATCATAATTGTTTCTCTTGCCTTAAAGTTAGTAGTTGTTAAAAAAAGTGAAGAATTCTTGTTTATTTCAATATATGTTTGCATGTATTAAAAAACATTACTTGTTTTAATTTTTCCAGATCGTGATGAATGTGGAGTTACGGGAATGTGTGAGAATGGAATGTGCGTCAATATTGACGGCAGTTTTCGGTGTGTGTGTAACTCAGGATACAGGATCTCACCAGACGGATATGTGTGTATTGGTAGGTTTTTATGTTTTCTACAGCCTCTCACCAGGTGGATGTGTTTGAGTTGGTAGGTTTTTGTTTTCTACATGCTCTCACCAGGTGGATATGTTTCTATTGGTAGGTTTTATGTTTTCCACATACTCTCACCAGGTGGATATGTTTCTATTGGTAGGTTTGTATGTTTTCTACAGTCTCTCACCAGGTGGATGTGTTTGAGTTGGTAGGTTTTTGTTTTCTACATGCTTTCACCAGGTGGATGTGTTTGTATTGGTAGGTTTTATGTTTTCTTACAGTCTCTCACCAGGTGGATATGTTTGTGTTTGGGTTGGTAGTTTATTATGTTTTCTATATGCCCTCACCAGGTGGATATGTTTCTTGTGGTAGGTTTGTATGTTTTCCACATACTCTCACCAGGTGGATATGTTTGAGTTGGTAGGTTTGTATGTTTTCTACAGTCTCTCACCAGGTCGATATGTTTATGTGTTTGGGTTGGTAATTTTTATGTTTTCTATATGCCCTCACCAGATGGATATGTTTGAGTTGGTAAATTTTGTCTTCTACAGTCTCTCACCAGGTGGATATGTTTGAGTTGAATCGTTACTGAAACATATGTAAGTTCAGTAACGTCCATACAAGAAAACACCACTTAAGTTACATGTTGTTTCTTGTATGGATCTTACTGAACTTACATATGTTTCGGTAACGATAAAACACCACTTAAGTTACATGTTGTTTCTTGTATGGATCTTACTGAACTTACATATGTTTCGGTAACGATAAAACACCACTTCAGTTACATGTTGTTTCTTGTATGGATCTTACTGAACTTACATATGTTTCGGTAACGATAAAACACCACTTAAGTTACATGTTGTTTCTTGTATGATAAAACACCACTTAAGTTACATGTTGTTTCTTGTATGGATCTTACTGCACTTACATATGTTTCGGTAACAATAAAACACCACTTAAGTTAAATGTTGTTTCTTGTATGGACGTTACTGAACTTACATATGTCTCAGTAACAATAAAACACCACTTAAGTTAAATATTGTTTCTTGTATGGACGTTACTGAACTTACATATGTTTCGGTAACGATAAAACACCACTTAAGTTAAATGTTGTTTCTTGTATGGACGTTACTGAACTTTAACTTAAGTGGTGTTTTATTGTTACTGAGACATATGTGATGAAGAGCTGGGGTGAAATATATTACTGCTATGATGAAGAGCTGGGGTGAAATATATTACTGCTATGGTGAAGAGCTAGGGTGAAATATATTACTGCTATGATGAAGAGCTGGGGTGAAATATATTACTGCTAGGGTGAAATATATTACTGCTATGATGAAGAGCTAGGGTGAAATATCTTACTGCTATGATGAAGAGCTGGGGTGAAATATATTACTGCTAGGGTGAAATATATTACTGCTATGGTGAAGCTAGGATGAAATATATTACTGCTAGGGTGAAGCTAGGGTGAAATATATTACTGCTATGGTGAAGAGCTAGGGTGAAATATATTACTGCTATGGTGAAGCTAGGGTGAAATATATTACTGCTATGCATTGATTGCATTGTTGTTTCTTTTATGTTATACATAAATATTTTCTAGCAGACAAGCTAGGGTGAACAACTACACTATCCTTTTTTCTTGTAGGAATTTGGTACAATAAATGTTTTTGTTTAATGTTTTGATTATCTGAATTGATGGTGTTCTTATGTGAATTTACACATTGACTCTAGATTTGGTTAGGTAATTTTTTTATATTCAAGATATTGATGAATGTGCTGAAAATGGTCGAATCTGCAATCGAGGTCAATGTGAAAATGTTCCGGGAAGCTATCGGTGCTCCTGCAAGGAAGGCTTTGTTTTAGAACCCAATGGAAAATTTTGTGTTGGTAAGTGATAATTTTAGAACAATAAACTTTTATACTATAGATTATTTTTCCTCTATGGCATCCTGACAGCATGAGGGTAAAATCAGTGTCTTATTTTGAGGGGTCAAAAAAATACAAGTCTTTACCCAAAAATGTTTCATAAATAATAATGTGCATCAGAAGTGTAATATATGACCACTTTTTGTTGCATTATCACACAATATTTTTGATACCAAATAAAATGATATTTTCCCAGAAAGTTAATACTAATTAATTCATTTCTTTTACTGTTCATGTGATTCTCTAACTTATTCACTTAATTGAAGTAATCTTCTTTTGTCTTTCACTATGGGTTCAAGTTATTATGAAGGTATATGGTGTGTAATGGTTAAGGTTATGACATTGAATATGCTGAAGCATTACAGTAAAGCAGGTAATTTTAAATACTATTCCTACCAGGCCCAATATGAGTTTCTAGTAAGAAACGTGTGTTTTATATATCATTTCAAATACATACAGAATGTTGTTCATTTCATTCATTACTGAAGCTCGTTTGACTAGTTGAGATTTTAACAAACAAAACAAGTCAAAATGCCTTTAATACACTTTATATAGTTATAACACTGTCTGCTTGTCCATAGAAATCTATTATCTGTATGGTTACTAGAGTTCTCAAATCAAAATTCACAGGTTACTTTCCTTGGGGGCTGAGGAAGAACCATAACGAACTTAGGATTAAAAGTAAAAAGGTGAATAGTGTGACTATTTCAAAATATAACAGCTTAGTTTTTCTGCAGAAGAAAACATAACCTCAAAATACACATAAATGAACATGTTTAAAAACACACCAAAGTAACAAAGAAACAACTTAATAGCAGTAATATATTTCACCCTAGCTTCACCATAGCAGTAATATATTTCATACATGATAGGAAAGAAAAATTTTCAAGTTCCCTTTTTGCTCAAACTTCTTTTATTGCAAAACTATTTTTTCATAGCACTTAAATTATTTTCACCTGGTCTTACAGAACAGTTGAATTTCAACTCCTTGCTACACATGTGAAGTTACGTGATGCAAACAAACTGAAATGTTTAAGCCTTACTAAACTTGAAAGTTTGTTATCACAAGTTATTAAATATGTTTATGTTTAACTAAGGTTATTCTCATTTAACCTATGGATTAGTGAGGAACAATAAGATAGATGGGTTTAACCAGAACAAAATTGGGATCTGAAAACCTTATGTTTAATCAAGGTTATTCTCGTTTAACCTATGGATTAGTGAGAAACAATATCATTGATGGGTTTAATCAGAACAAAGTTGGGATATGAAAACCTTATGTTTAATCAAGGTTATTCTCGTTTAACCTATGGATTAGTGAGAAACAATATCATTGATGGGTTTAATCAGAACAAAGTTGGGATATGAAAACCTTATGTTTAATCAAGGTTATTTTCGTTTAACCTATGGATTAGTGAGGAACAATATCATTGATGGGTTTAATCAGAACAAAGTTGGGATATGA